TTCATTCCACTTTATTTTGTTAGTTCTGCCTACCTGAATAATATTCTATTAACTAACCACGTTGCTTAAACTAATTGCGCTTATCTACGGTAACTTTGTTGCGTTTGTAGCATTTTAAGTAACTTGTGGACATTTTTTCCCTTATCGCGGATTTGTTGCTAACCGACTTACTTCATATGGTAATTTAGCGAAAGTTACGTCGCCGTATCGTATGCATTATTGCATTTATTTTATTTCGTCTTGTCGTTTCAAGTGATTGGCTGTTGCTTGATATCCCCGGTGTGGCTGCGCTTGAAGTCCGTGTTGACAAGTGCCTACCTGTCTCTTACCCACTACCTCGTTCATACTGGCTCCAGGAGACAGTTGGTCGTTGCTGAAGGGGACTGGGTGCACGGTTCTTGTGAACTTGCTAGGCTCAAAGAGCGGTTCCATGCACTCAGTGTGGAGCGGACTACGGTCCAGCCACCGCTCTGTGTGCGATTGATTCCCCAAATACAGCGTGCTTGTGTTTGCCTGTGAAGGAGTGTGGGCCGGCTCCGTTGATGAAACGTGGTTCCAATCCGCATGCCTCCCGGTCTTATTCCTTCGGGTTTACACTGGATATGGGGTATGTGGTTGCAGCTGTGGGTGGTGCAGCACAAGCCATCCATGGTCCCTCTGTAGGTGCAGGCGTCCTGTGGCTGACCATAGGGACAGGCAAATCCGAAACCGGATGCCGCCAACCATTATGGTTCGCATTTTGCACAAGTGAAATCAGTTTCCGTTTTTCACCGCCGATATATATATATATATATATTATACACAATCTGTGGTACAGATATTGTGCCATCGGAATCATGGCTGAATAGGAAAACAATATGAATAATAAGAAAAGAGCAACAAGAAATGCTTTTTTTGTCAAGCTTACCACTCACAGTTTTTAAAAATTTTTTCAGTTTGTTCGTTTTTAGGGGGAGGAGGAAGGGACTCCGCAACACACTGATGCACACGTCCGCCATTGACATCGATCTTGAGCCATAACTTCTAAGGTTTTTCAACCAGCAAGTATCCTCGTCTCTCGGACCCCAACCAGGTAGTCGACAACAACCGGCCGAGGCCAATTGTTTCGTCAACTTTTTCATGCGGCTTCTCCATGTTGTAGGCTGTCCACCAGACCGTCTCTTCCAGCCCTGTCCAGCAAGTGCAAACAACGCACGACGGGGTAACGCTGGACAGGCATGCGCAATACGTGTCCCAACCACCGCAGTTGATGCAGTGAGATGAGCTCCTCGAGCGAGTGGCTTCCACGTCCCAAGACACGCTGTCTAACTTCCACATTGCTTACGTGGTGCTGCCACCACACACGGGCAATGGACCGCAGACAGCGGTGCTCGAAGACGGATAGCCTGCGCAAGTCATCTTTACGAATGGGCCAGGTCTCGCATCCGTACAACAGTACAGCACGAACAGTTGCACAATAGACCGCCCTTTGATGGAGAGACGAATGTCGTGGCGACGCCACAAATGCCTCAGCCTAGAAAAAGCGAGGCGTGCTTTCGAGATGCGCATCGAAATCTCGTCTCCAACAGCCCCGCCAGCAGTGATGCAACTTCCCAAGTAGACAAAGCTCTCCACAACCTCTAGAGTCTCACCAACAAGCGTGAGTGCTGGCGGAGGCATGTGCCAGTATTGAAGGAGAGCCTTGCATTGGAGTGGCGAAAAGCGCATACTATACTTTGATGCTGCAATCACCAAGCGGTTTAGTGCACGTTGAACGACGTGTGGATCGTCACCCAGCAAGACGATATCATCAGCATAATCCAAATCAACAACTCGACTACCTGGGAGGAGCTCAACGCCAGCGTTCAACGAATCGCTCAGAGCGTTCTTCAGGACATCCTCAATGGCAAAGTTGAATAGGAACGGAGAGATAGGGCATCCTTGTCGAACTCCACTGGAGACCACAAAGGTAGGCGAAAGCATGCCATAAGCCCTAACCCTGCCCGAGGTCAGACTGTATAGAGCGCGCAGTATGGAGACGAACTTCTCGGGGACACCGTTCCTCAGAAGGCACTGCCACAGTACTGTACGATCGACAGAATCGAAGGCTGCACGGATATCCAGGAACACAGCAATCGTTGGCCTCTGATACACATGGCGGAGCTCGAGGATCTGGCGAAGTGTGAAGATTTGATCGATGCAGCCGCGACCAGGGCGAAACCCAGCTTGTTCTTCTCGCTGCAACGATTCGCGCGTTGGGGATAGCCTGCGAAGTATGATGGACACCAGCAGTTTGCAAACGACGGGGACTAAGCTTATGCCTCTGTAGTTGGAGCAGATTGTGCGCAGGCCCTTTTTGAAGATGGGTTCATGAGTTTAACACACCTCTTCTATTAGAAACGAAACATCGATGGACCGGCATTTGAGCTCACACACACATAAACCCATTAACTCTTCACACTTCTCTGGTTCTTACAGGCATCATGCTCCAAGCTACTCACCTTTGGGCTATCTGTTTGTCAGCACATTTTCTCATCTTGTCCTTCAACGCCATTAAACTGGCGGTCCCATGATGATACAGCTTTCACTCACTACTATAAATAAATAAACAAATAAATAAATCTTTTATTCTCAACAAAGTGAGGCACGCCTTTACAGGCATGATCATTTTGACATAACGATGCATGATCAAGAATGTGCAAAACTCCGATATGTTTGCCATAACAGTTTGTGTTCGTGTAGGTGGTATGTATATATGTCATTTTGTGTGTATGTGTATGTAGCTGTGTATTTTGTGCTTGTAGTTGTGCTACTCCAATCTTCAATGTTTGATAGCGTCATCAATATGTGAGTAGGAGCTTGGTGTCCGTGGGTTGGATAGAATTATCCGGATATCCACGGGGCAGTGACTTTATTTTGTGGCGAGTCACGACCGCCACGTCAGAGTGTTGTTAAGCAGACATTTGTGGCTTTTTCTAGGGAGAACGCTTGCCAGGCGAAAACCCACCACGTCCTGGAACACTACCGCCGAACTATTAGCTGGAACGGGTAAAACCCGAACCACCCAGCTGGCACCACGAGGAGGTTGTTCGGCTAGCCAGCCTTCTTTACCTGTTTATATTTTCTGCTTCACGCCGACCACACTTGGTTGTAGGCATATTCTTTGTTTTCTGACCCCGCGAACACTTTTTCCGTTGCTACCTTTGCGATGTGTTCTCTTTTAGGTGAGCACTTGTCAGAAAACATGGCACCAAGCAGGCTCCAACACAAAGATCCATCAGTCCGAGGAGGATGGGACCCAAAAAAGTCATTTGGACGAGGAATCCGTGGGAGTAATGCGCACTCACTCGCCTGCGAGAACGCAAGCATCCTCTTGATCGTTTTCCCTCCTCCCACTTCTCCTTTCTGGCGGTTGACAGAACCACTGTTCTGCACACCCTTCCCCAACTTTGGCTTCCTTGGATCCTCTGTGTGCCT